CGGGGAGTTGGAAGTGGCAGGAGAGCGCTCCGACGCCCTACGCCTCTCCTGGACTGTGGCCCAGGGCCCCTTTGACTCCTTCCTAGTCCAGTACAGAGACAGGGATGGGCAGCTCCAGACGGTGTCCGTGGCTGCGGACCAGCAGGAAGCCATCATAGAGGGCCTGCAGCCAGGCAGGAAGTACAAGTTCCTGCTCTTCGGGCTCACTGGAGGAAAGCAGCTGGGACCTGTCTCTGCCCTGGGAGTGACAGGTGAGGAGGCTGTCCTGCCTGGTGGCAGCCGCAGGCCCAAGGTGTCTGAAGACGAAAGGACTGAATGAGGTGGGCGGGTGGGAGGGTCATCCAGAGGCAGAGAAAGAGAGTGTGTGTTGAGGCCGTGAGGGTTCCCTCTCGCCCTGCCCCACTCATCCCCTTATGTGCTGCTGCCCTGCCGGGGGCGGCAGACGAGAGCTGCCACACAAGTGCCCGCCTCCCGTTCTGGGACCCAGGTGGGAAGTCACCGGGAAGTCCAATGGGCAGAGGCCACTGACACCCACTCCAGAGTGGAGAGGCCAAGGACACATGCCTGGTGTGACCTGCCAGGCACACACACCGGCCAGTGCCAGCCTCGGCTGCTCTCAAAAGATGCTAAGGGTGGGGCGAGGGCCAAGCCTGAGGGGCCACTGCTGAGTTGACATGCCGTGCCGGGGGCTGGGAGAGGGGAAGTGAGTCCTGGCCCACACAAAGCAAGGAGCCGAGGAAGGACTGACAGACACAGCAGCTTCCCAGGCAGGAGAGCTGGTGCTAGTGTCAGAGAGGCCTCCTGGGTGGAAGGCCATGCTGCCAAGGCAAGGGTAAGGGTAAAACAAATTCAAGAACGGGAAGGTTCTAGAAGATGCCCCGGTCCCCTCCCTTTCCTCTTGGGCTGCTCTGCCAGGACTGTGAGGCGTCGCCAGGCCAGCCACATAACCATTTTCCTCTGAAGGGCAAGATGGAAAGGGCAGAGCGTGGCAGCCCCACAAAGGCCTGGTTTCTCCCATGCAGCCCCAGAAGAGAAGACACCAGCCCCAGACCCCTCTGAGGCCCCTGAAGCACCCCGCCTGGGGGTGCTGGAGGTGACGGAGGCGACCCCAGACTCCCTGCGCCTCTCCTGGGCTGTGGCCCGTGGCCCCTTCGACTCCTTCGTGGTCCAGTACCAGGACACGGAGGGGCAGACCCAGGCCCTGCTTGTTGATGGAGACCAGAATAAGGTCCATATCACGGGCCTGGAACCCAAGACCTCCTACCAGTTCTTCCTGTATGGCCTCCGAGAAGGGATGCGCTATGGCCCTGTCTCTGCAGAGGGCACCACAGGTAAGGCCAGGCCCGTTACCATCCTAGTCTGGGCTAGGAAGGGTACAAGGTGGCCACCACAGGGAAGGCAGGAGGAGGCGCCCTACCCCGCCCTGCCTCTCCTCCTAGTCAGGCCACTGAACCACCCCCACCCCCATTCCCCGTGTCTCTGTTCAGCCACTAGCCCAACTTTCCTGACCAACGGCTGGGGTAGGGTGGCAGAGGTGATGGGCTCCGGGCTTTGGCACTGTGTCCTACCCACTCCCCACAGATACGGCTCCTGCAGGCCAGGCCTCAGGGGACCCCAGCCTGTCCAACCTGTCGGTGACGGATGTGACCACCAGTTCTATGCGGCTAAGCTGGGAAGCCCCACTTGGGGCCTTTGACTCCTTCCTCCTGCGCTTTGGGGTCCCCTCCCCAAGCCTCCTGGAGCCGAGCCCGCGCCCTCTGCTCCAGCGAGAGCTGATGGTGCCGGGGACCAGGCGCTCGGCTGTGCTGCGGGACCTGCGCTCCGGGACCCTGTACAGCCTCACCCTGTACGGGCTGCGCGGGCCGCACAAGGCCGACAGCATCCAGAGCACTGCCCACACCCTCAGCCCAGGTGAGGCCCCCAGGGGCCTTGGTGCTTCGGAGGGTGGGAACCAGCCGGCGAAGGGCGTGCGGTGAGGCAGCAGAGGGGGGAAGGGCGAGTGCCGCCCCGGGAACCTACCCGAGGGGAGCCCGAGGGCCCAAGGCGCTTGGGCAGGAGCCCGCCTGTCCGTGCCCTCACCACTGCACCCACCCCGTGCCACCCTCAGTTCTGGAGAGCCCCCGAGACCTGCAATTCAGCGAAATTGGGGAGACGTCGGCCAGAGCCACGTGGGTGCCGCCGTCGTCCAGGGTGGACAGCTTCAAAGTTTCCTACCAGCTAGCAGACGGAGGTGCCGGCCCTGCCCGCCGCGTCCTCCCCCCTCCCCCCCCCGCACATCCCCGGCTGCTCCCAGGCCTCCTGGGTGACCCCGGTTCCATCCATGTTTCCAGGAGAGCCACAAAGCGTGCTGGTGGATGGCCGGACCCAGACCCTGACCCTCCAGGGGCTGACCCCAGACACTCGCTACGAGGTGACGGTGGTCTCCGTCCGAGGCTTTGAGGAGAGTGAGCCTCTCACCGGCTTCCTCACCACGGGTAAGACAGGCTGGCACCAAGACAGGCAGAGAGAGCAGGGTGGGGGAGGGGGAGGCCAAGGGGACCCCGGGGCTGCAACCTCCCATGAGCGAGGGGCCAGCGGGGTTGAGGTTACTGGAGTTGGGGCACCTCTGAGCTCCCTGCTTCCTCCCAGTTCCTGACGGCCCCACCCAGCTGCGTGCGTTAAACTTGACCGACGGGTCCGCCCTTCTACACTGGAAACCCCCCCAGAACCCTGTGGACAAGTACAACGTCCAGGTCGCATCCCCCGGGGGTGAGAGTGATGGCGCCCCCGACTTGTCTGAGATGGGGTTGCGGTGGGGTCGGGCGACAGCACGGATGGGCAGGAGCTGACGCCCACCGCCCCTCCCAGCCCCGCCCCTGCAGGCCTCCGCGCCTGGCAGCGCTGTGGACTACCCTCTGACGGACCTGGCCCTCGACACCAACTACACAGCCACCGTGCGTGGCCTCCGGGGCCCTAACTTCACCTCCCCAGCGAGCATCGTCTTCACCACAGGTCCAGCCGGGGCTGGGTGGGGCTGAGCCACAGCGCGGAGCCAGGGACCGCACTCGGGCCTCATCTCCGTCTCTTGCCATCTTCCCTCCCCTTCCAGGACTGAAGCCCCCCCAGGACTTGGAGGCCAGGGAGGTGACTCCTCGGACAGCCCTGCTCACCTGGACAGAGCCCGAAGTCCCCCCGACAGGCTACCTGCTCAGCTTTGACAGCCCTGGGGGGCAGATCCAGGTACCCTGCTCCTACTTCCCCGGCGGCCTCCCTAGCTCTCCCAGGAAGTCTCCTTCTTGCCCTCTCCTGACCTGCCCTTGTCTGTCTCCAGGAAATCCTGCTTCCAGCAGGAACCACCTCGCACCGGCTCCTCCGCCTCTTCCCCTCCACCTTCTACAGCGCCCAGCTCCGGGCAGTTTGGGGCGAGAGCCTCACACCTCCTGTGTCCACTTCCTTTACGACTGGTACCGGCTCCGGGGTTCGGGCTTGGGTGGGCAGCTGGGGTGTGAGTTTGGGGGCAGGCCCTCCTCCTCCTCCTCCTCCTCCTCCTCCTCCTCCTCTCTGCAGGTGGGCTGCGGATCCCCTTCCCCCGGGACTGCGGGGAGGAGATGCAGAACGGAGCCAGCGCCTCAAAGACCACCACCATCTTCCTCAACGGCAACCGAGAACGGCCTCTGGACGTGTTTTGTGACATGGAGACCAATGGGGGCGGCTGGCTGGTGGGTTCCGTTGGGAGCCCTGGCACCTGTGTGGCACAGGGGCCGATGCCCGGGAGCCGAGGCTGATTCCGCCCCCGCCTGCTTCCCAGGTGTTCCAGCGCCGCATGGACGGACGGACAGACTTCTGGAGAGACTGGGAGGAGTATGCCCACGGTTTTGGAAACATCTCCGGGGAATTCTGGCTGGGTCCGTGCCTCCTGGGGCTGGGGGAGGGGTGGCTGGGCACTGCCCTGGAGCCCAGCGCCCTGACGGAGCATGCCCCGCCGCAGGCAACGAGGCCCTGCACAGCCTGACGCAGGCCGGAGACTACTCCATGCGCGTGGACCTGCGGGCTGGAGCCGAGGCCGTGTTCGCCCAGTACGACCTCTTCCAGGTCGACTCGGCAGCCGAGAACTACCGCCTCCACCTGGAGGGCTACCACGGCACTGCGGGTGAGGCTGGGCTCCCGGGGTGGGGGGCGGCCGGGTGGCCGAGGCTGGGCCCCCAGGGGTGGGGGCGGGTGGCCGAGGCTGGGCCCCCCGGGGGGGGGGGGGGGGGGGCCAGGGGGCCGGGGCTGGGCCCCACTGCCCCCCCCCCATCCCCGCAGGCGACTCCATGAGCTACCACAGCGGCAGCGTCTTTTCCGCCCGTGACCGAGACCCCAACAACTTGCTCATCTCCTGCGCTGTCTCCTATCGCGGGGCTTGGTGGTACAGGAACTGTCACTATGCCAACCTCAACGGGCTCTACGGGAGCACAGTGGACCACCAGGTGGGGGCCGCGGGCGCGGCAGGGTCTGGGGGACCCAGGCCGGGGCCTGCGCCCGTGAATGACCCTCTGGGAGGTCCTCTGGGCAATGCCACAGTTAGGCCAACGTCGCTGAGGAAACTTGAGAAGACTGTTTATTAGGGGGGTAGAAGGCACCAGCTCAGGGCACGTGGGGCAGACGGGTGGACCCTGGGAGTCACCTACAGGAGCAGGGTGGGCGAATGAGGGGCGCTGACGGGACGCCGGCTTGACTCTCTCCCTTGACAACCCTCTCCCCAGGGAGTGAGCTGGTACCACTGGAAAGGCTTCGAGTTCTCGGTGCCCTTCACGGAAATGAAGCTGAGACCCAGAAACTTCCAGAACCCCGCCAGAGGCAGCTGAGCCTGCCCCACCTCATTCACACCCTGAGCACTGAGGGTTTGTGCCCGGAGAAGAGCCAGTGCGCCTCTACTGTGCCCAGCTCGCCGAGGAGGCCTTCTCCGCCACAAACTCACAGCACCATGTTTACAGGGGGGAGGGGAGGGGGATGGAGCAATAAAGGAGAAACTGAGGCACGAGGCTGGTCCTGGTCCTATTCTGTCAAGGATTTCTGGCCCTGGTCTTGGGACGCCCGGTTCCTGGGCTGCAGCCGCACCTGGAAGGGGTGAATGGAGAGGTTGACCCCAGAGTGAGGCGGGGGCTGCAGTGAGGGCAGGGCGCCGCCGGGGGGCGGCAGCAGCGTGAAGGCCTGGAGCAGGCGAGCCAGCACCACGAAGAGCTCCAGCCGCGCCAGAGACTCCCCCAGGCACACGCGCGCCCCGCAGCCGAAGGAGACCGTCCTCAAGTTCCTGCCAGGCTCCAGGAAGCGATCTGCGGGCAGTGGACACACGGCTAGGGCGGGCTGTCCCGGCCGAGTCCCGGCCCCTTCCACCCCCCAGCCTGGCGTCCTCCTACCGGGCCGGAACTCGCTGGGCAGTTCCCAGACCATCTCGTCCAGGTTGGCGCCCTGGATGTTGGGGATGACAATGGTGTCCTTGGGGATGTCGTAGCCAGAGATGCTGAGGGGAGGTGGAGTCAGGGGCCGTCCAGAGCCGGGCGAGGCCTTCCTCCCTCAAAACCCCCACCCCAGGCAGTCACCTGCTGTCCCGAGTGGTGCGGTGAGGCAAGGCCAAGGGCACCACGGGCCGCAGGCGCAGCACCTCCGAAATGGTGGCCATGAGCAGGGGCAGCTGTGCCCGGTTCTTGTACAGGAGCTGGGAGCCGGGGCCCAGCTTGAGGTCCAATTCCTCCTGCAGTCGCTTCTGGATCTGAGAAGAAGGGGCGAGGCTGGCATCTGGGGACCAAGCTTTGCTCAGGTGGCTCACAGATGCCTGCCCCTCCCTCCGGCCATCTAGCCGAGCCCAGGGCCCTCTGTGAGCACAGCCCAGGCCGGGCAGTGGAGGGCGGGGCCTTGCTCTCCTCACGAGGCACCTCGGGGTGATGGAGCAGGAAGGCCACGGCCCAGGACAGGGTGATGGCCGTGGTCTCGGTGCCTCCGAGGAGGAAGTCCATCGCCGAGGAGTGCACATGCCCTTCGTGGAGCCGCCCCGCGCCCCTTTGCTCGTCCACTTTCTGAAGCATGTAGTCGGTCATGTCCTTCCACCGGCCTTCGACCAGGACGTCCTGCAGGGGTGGGGGGGCAGGCCAGGCATTGGCTGGGGGAGGGGGAGCAGGCTAGGGCCTGCACGCGCAGAAGCTGCGACGCCCACCTTGTGCTGCTTCAGCTGCTCCCTGATGATACAGCCACAGCCCTCTTGGAGCCGCTTCAGCTTCTGGAGGCCTGGATTGGGGAGGAACTGGGGCAGGGAGGGGAGTCAGCCGCAGGAGGGTGCGCCCTCCCCCAGCCCAGGGGCGTCCGAGAGCGCGGTGCTTCCTCACCCTGAAAAGGGGAACAAGATTCAAGATTTGGATGGACCAGTGGTTCCAGGCTTGCAACAAATCCTGCACGAGGCTGTGGACGGTGTGCAGAAGAGTGCTGTCCTGCCAGGAGAAGAGGGCATGCTCGGAGCCCAAGGCCAGGGGAGGGCTGGGAGGGGCTGAGCAGCACTGACCTTGTCTCCGAACGTGAGGTGCCAGATAATGGAGCACGTGAGGAGAGAGAACTCCCTGTCGATGGCCACGGGTCGGCCAGCCTGGCCTCTCATGCGCTGTGGGGACAGAGCAGGGCTGGGGTAGAGGGGAGCCGACCCCGGGAGGGTCAGGACGCAGGGGCCCAGTCTCACCTCACAGAATTCCTGGGCCAGCTGCTCCACCAGGGCCTCCATGGAGTCCCGCATGCCCATCATCAGGGCTGAGCGAGAGAGTTTCTTGTGGTCCTTCCATGTGAGAGAGTAATCCCCCAGAGACAGATCAAACTCCAGGTTTTCTGCAGGAGGGATGGTGGAAAGAGAGGCTGCCACCAGCCAAGGAAGCCAAAGGCCTGACCTGCCTCCCCCAGACCAGGAAGTAACCTCATCCCAGAGCAATGGCCACACCTAGCAGGTCTCTGTGAATCTGAGGCCAGCCTGGTCTACATAGTGATTTTTGGCCCAGCAAGGGCTACATGGTGAGCTACAATCTGAAGAAGAAGGAAAATGAGGAGAGGGAGAGAGGGAGAGGAAGGAGGAGGGGGAGAGAGAAAGGGGGGGGAGGAAGGAGGAAGAGGAGGAAGAAGAAAAGAAAAAGAAGAAGAAGAAGGTGCCCCAGCCCTTACCATACAGTATCCAGGGTCGGCCAGCAAAGTCCATCCACTTTTGGATCAGGGCCTCCTCAATGACTCTGTGAGAGTTCAGCACCACCACATCTGTGGGAAACCGCAGTGCCTGTCAGCCTGTCAGCGGGGAAGGACGGGCCACAGGCAGGCAGAAGGCTGGCTCACCTTGCAGCCCCAGGCGGATCCTGTAGATGGGCCCGAGTTTCTGAGTGAGGCGGAACAGGTAGATGGGAAGGTGGGGCTGCAGACCATGCAGGAATCCGGGGACGAGAGGCGGGAGGTGGAGATTCGAGGGTCTCCGCTGGCCCCACAGCCAGCGGGCGCCAGCCAGCAGCAGCAGCAGCAGCAGCAGCCCAGGTAGCACCATGGCGGAACTTGTGCAGGGGCCCTGGCCTGGCCTTTTATAGCCCCTGCTGGCAGCCAGCCTCTCTGCTGTGGCTCAGATCCCTTCCCACACAGAGCAGCATGTTTTCAGATTTGCACAAAGCCGTCAGCCTTGGAGAACCCATGAATCAAAGGTGGGACCATCCATCAAGAAGAAAGGAAGAGATGCAAAACCCTGACCTTTCCATATCACAATCCGTTTCCTGACTCCGTCCGTGTCAGCCAAGTGGACCAAGGAGGCCACCCAAGCCCGCCCTTCCCCCTACACCTCACCTTGGAGTGAACGTGTCCCAGAGAAAAGAAATAACTGGCAGCCCCGGCCCAACAGGCCTTTTGGGTTTACCTATAGTCCCTGCAAGTATTTTATTGTTGTTATTATTACATATTTTCGTGGTTGTTGTGATGCTCGTGGTTGAACCCAGGAGCTTCTACGCTGGCGGTGAGCCCCCCACTAGCTGCAGTCCAGCCTTCTGCCTGCTCTCCTGTTAATTTTGACACAGGGTCTCACGGAGTTGGCCAGGGGGCCTTAACTCTCTGTGTGGCTCGGGCAGGCCTCAAACTTTGAATCCTCCCGAAGCCTCTCAAATAGCTGGGATGACAGACGTGAACCACCTGCTTCCCTGTGCAATTCCTGGCTTCCGTTTGAGGCTTTTGGTGGGGGTGGGGGCTACATGTGTGTGCCTACATGTGCCCATGTGTGGAGGGCCAAGGTCAGCCTTTGGCAGTCTGTCCAGAGGAAGAGCCCAGAGCTCCCTGCTTTAGCCTGGCAGGCTGGCTGCTGAGCCCCGGGGGTCCTCCTGTCTCTGTCTCCTCATTTCTGGAATGACAAACGTGTGCCATGAGGCTGGAGAGGTGGCTCAGTGGTTAGGAGCACTGGCTGCTCTTGCTGAGGGCCTGGGTTCATTCCCAGCACCCACACAGCTCACAGCCTTCTGTAACTCCTGTTCGGAGGTTCCAGCGCCCTCTCCTGGCCCCTGTGGGCACTACATGAACATGGTGCCCATGCATGCCAACAAAACACAGGCTTTCTCTGGTTTAGTTTTACATTTATTTTAGTTTATGTTGTATGTATGTGTAAAAACAACAGAAAAACAAGCAAGCACAACCTATGGGCCACCACAAGCAGACTTTCTTGAAGTCAGTATGTAGCCAAGGATGACTTTAAAGTGACTCCTCTGTTCCCGTCTCCGACGCCGGGATTACAGGCATACACCCCAGTGCCTGGCCCGGGGCCTCCTTCACTGTCACAGAGGTCTACAGTTAGGTGTGGTGGTGCTTGCCTGTAATCTCAGCACTCGGGAGGCAGGGGCGGGAGGGTTGAGCCTGAGCTCAGCCTGGGCTAGACCTGAAAAGGCTCAGCGTTAGTGTTTGCTTCACACTGAGGGGCTGGTTCCACCCCAGCACCACACAAAACAGTGTTCAGAAGACAAGGGCCACAGCACAGTTTTTATGCTGCTTTATTGGGGTTCTAATATCTCTATCCCCTTTCCAACTCCCCAACTCTAGGTATGAGAGAAAGCGTAGTGGGGAACAGGGGCTTAGGTCTCTTTAGACTACTTCCTGCTGGCTATGGCCTGAGATGTGGAGAGCCTGTCTTAAACAAAACAACAGCAACCATGGGAAGGGAAGTAGTCACCTGCCTCCGGTACTGGCTCTCGCCTCTCCCAGGGCACAGGAACTACCTAGTCTCATTCTGTTCCCAGTGATGAACTCCAGGGATCAGCAACTATGATTCCGGTTCTGGTACCACTGGGCAGGACAAGGTATGACAGGTGACAGATGTCTGTGGGATGGTCAAATGGCAGATTTATCTGACCTCAGTAAATTTGTTTGGTTCAGTTCTAGGTCATCCTGGAATAAACACCAAGTTGGCAGAAGTCTAGGCCGACAGGGTTGGAGGGGGGATTCCCCTTGAGAATTCAGGAACAACACAGTCAACCTTTGGCCTGTTTAAAATCAGTACCGGGAAAATGACCATCAGACCTGAAGGTTGCACAACTCCAGAAAAATTGCCTAATACCACAAATAACAAGGTCCACAGGCTCACAACTAGCCATGACACAGTACAAGCCAACAGACCCCGCAACTAAAACGAGCAAGAATTGGACAGCGTGCTAAAGATGGGAGCTGTCCCTAAGGGCACAGTGACCATGACACCCAGCCACAGGGTACTTGAGGCCCTGGCTACTGGGCTCCCATGTGGGACCCTGCTGTTAAGGCTGAATGCTAACTAGCTGGCATTTCCGGATAGCCTCTGAGCTCGGCATCAGATGACTCCCTTCCTCAGCTGGGTTCCCTCCTCTAGAGCCCAGATCCTCTACAGAGTGTCACAGCCCGCAGGGAGATTACAGCCCAACCCTTTCCCACTAAGAAACCTGCTCAGGGTGCACCTGGGATTCCTGGAAACACCCGCCTGTGCTGAGATGGCTTGGTGTCTTGGGTTTCAACCAATGGCCTTTAACCGTCCCTGGTGTTCTACTCCCACCCACAGAATGATCCCCGCCCCTTCTTACAATAGGGCTGTTCTGTTAAATAAATGGAGCGTCCCTGGCACCTCCAGCCCTATGGTATCAAACACATTTACCCTCAAACCCCTTCCTACCGCCCAAGGTTTGTAAGTTCCCAAAGAATTCACAGCTTGACGCTGGGGCTTGTGGTTGGGGGCAGTAAGCCACGCGCTGCGGACTCTAAGGTGTGTCAGCGCAGATGCTGTCACCTCTTTGCAGCGTCACTCCGCCCCCTGCAGCGTCTGTCTTCCGGAGCAAGCAGCTGGCTGCGCCTGAAGCACACTTTAGTTTTGTCTTCCCAGACAAAACCGGGGTCCCACCTCTGCCTCTCTGTTTCAGAGCTCTGGAGCTCTCCGGGAGCCTCTGTTAGCAGCAGCAGATACTGGTTTCATGTTCCATGAGGCCTGAGCTTCCTGGGAGAGTACCCGACAAAGCCCAGGCTCCTGCCAGATGCAGAGCGACACCCCAAGATGGACTCAGTGCCCAGAGCTTCACAGCCTGGGTGCATGGTGGGCTGCCCGCCTACAGACACACACACAGGGACTCTGCTGTCAAAAGCCTTTATTCACCCTGTCAGGCGGAGCCCCTCGTCCGGGGAGCCTCTGACCCGGGGCCTGGGTTCAGGGGTCCAGTGTCCTGCGTCCTCACACCTGGCACCCCTGGCTGCTGTACTCCTGGAGGAAGTCGTTGAGCTGGGCGCAGGCCGCCCGCTGGCGCGTGCTCTGGCACAGGCGTTTAGAAGGCATCTCCTCGATCCAGCTGTTTGAGTCCAGCAGGTACTGGGGGCTGCAGTGACACAGCCGGGGTTAGGCCAGGTACACAGGCCACTCGGCTTCGGGGGGGCAGAGCCGGGTGCCTAGGTCTGCCCCCACAGGAAGGCCACAGACACGAGAAGAGCAAGGGATGGAAGGACGGGGTGACTCACTCTCCCTTGAGGTCACTGGTGACCCCGTCCAGGCCCATGATCAGGTATTCCTTGTTGGGCTCCAAGCGAAGGCGGCAAGAGGCCCGGACCAGGAAGTTGCGGGTCTGACCCACCGAGGCCTTGGCGTCCTTGGCTAAGGAAATAAAGAGACAGAAGACATAAGAGGAGAAGGGAGAGGCAGAAGAAGGCCAGGACGGGCTCCGTGTCCATCATTTACCCACTCTGCTCCTGACAGTTGTCCACTACCTATCAGCAAACCCGGGCTCCCGACACCAGAAGCCGGGGAGACGGGAGGACGGGGAATTTGCACTCAGACCTTGAATTTCCCCAATTCCAAGAGGCCCTACACCCAGACCTCAACCTCCACCGCTCCCCAGCCTGCCCGCCTCTCCTTCCTACAGAAATGCAAGACTTGGGTGATCTCGGTCTCAAAGAGGCGGAAGGCAGCTCTGCCATCTTCTCGAAGAACCTTAACCTGGAAGCCTGGGAGGGAACAGGAAGAGGGAAGGAAGTTAGGGCAAAGCAGAGAGGCCACAGGTGGGCAAGCTAGACAGCACAGGGTGCTGGGGGCGAGAAGGGAGGCGGAGGGGACCCACCGTACTCCACTCGGGGGTAGTAGCAGGCAAACTTCATCCTGTAGCCGTCCTGGTCCTGCACCCCTCGCTCCAGTGCCCGTCGCTGCCGAGGGCACTTCCCTGGGGTCAAGTGTCAGATGAGACCATCGCCCCAGCCCCCCAGCCCCCCCCCAGCCTTCTCCCCAGGCCCCTCCTCACCCCCCTGCCCAGCCCCCCTGCCCAGCCCTGCCCAGGCCCCACCTCACCCTCATCCCTGCCCAGCCCGGCTCCCCAGCCCCCTGCCCAGCCCTGCCCAGGCCCCACCTCACCCTCAGCACACTGGCAGACGTCTGCGGAGCACAGGGTGGACAGCAGCTTGCTCTTGGTTGGCGCAGAGTAGAACACAGAGCACTTGTGATCTGGAGAAAAGCAGAAGCAGGAGTGAGGGCCAGGCCTCTCCTCTCCGCCTTGGCACCTCAGAGCCCAGGGAGGGGCAGCCAGAGCGGCCGGCATGCTCACCGGGGCTGTAGTAGTCATACAGGACGGCACTGGCCGGCTGCACCAGCCCCACGGCCACCTCCTGCAAGGCTCCAAAGCCCACACACTCCCGGGTGGTCGGGACCTGCCCCGGGACAGAAGGCTGCTCAGAGCCAGGCCGCTGGCGGCCTCCACCTGCCTTGCTCCTCCCTGGCTGGATCCCATGACCTTATCTGCAGTGCCCTTCGTGCTGTCATCTTCCTGCCACTAGCCTGGTCCCCAAGGTCTCTGATGACTTCCCTGCCAGTGCGGCGACCTCGTCCCTGTCTCCACTGCCCGAGGCCCTCTGCTGAATCACCACAGGACCCTTGGGGAGGTAGGCTAGCTTTTGAACCAACCCGCCTCACTTGGCCACCTCTCCTTTCCAGGAGCACAGGTCTGAGCAGGCCCTCGTTCCTCTCCCAGTACCCACAGTGGTCTCTACCCCCCCACCCCCGCCTCACTCCCCGGAAGCCCTTGG